TCTTTTCGATGTTTCTCTCTCCCTCTCCCTCCCTTTCTTGAAAGACAATAAAAGCATTTTTTTTAAAAAAGAACTATCATAAAGTACATAATTCATTTTTGGTAATTAAGCTGATTACAAAGAACAAGTTTCCATGCAGAATTTTCTTCTTAATTAACTAACATGACCCTTCCATAATATGTATGACATTCTCAATAGTCTTCTGCCAATTGATTAATGTATACAATGTATTTTTGCCAAAACGGTACATATACTACTTAGTATATGTTATAAGGAGCATTGGCCTGATACCCAGTAGAGAACAGGGCCATCATTCTATGCATATGAGATGTTTCCTGGCACTTGAGATTTTTGTATTGTGAGAACACAACCTGGGAAGCAATCATTTTACTCCAACACAATCATTTTCTAAGTGTGGTAACTATGCATGCCTTTGTATTATAATCCACTGTGATAATTTAGCAGAGATTATATTATAATTATTGTTGGCTTGTGGGTAATAAGTTCATAATATGCAGTGATCTCAGAGAAGCAGAGATGCATAGATACAATGGATGGAATTCAGAATGAGGAGTAAAGAGGACATATTTCCAAGAAATTTACAGATGTATTAAAACAGGTCGTGCTACCCATGGTATTTGTAACTACTGGCATGAGGAATCATTCTTCCTTGAGGTGAATTTACTCTTTTAAAATGAGCTAAAGCTCATGAAAGCTGTTTCCAGATGGAAAAAATATCCCTTTATGAGAAAGCCTAACAGCACTTTATTCTAGGAAAGACTGAAATGATGTGTGTGATTTGGGTGCAGACTCTGTGATCTGAGGCTTATTCTAACTGTGGATGCACCCTTCTGCCTCCAGTTGAGGAGAGTGGGTTCAACCTAGTGGATCAACACACTCAACCTTGCAACAGGCTTTCCTAGAAGATCAGTATAAGCTGCATGAGGGCAGTTACACTGGTAATGCTTCGGAGCCATTGTGGTTAGGAGGAAAAAGAATAATCTTCAGAACCATATAAGACTTGGGTTGAAATCCTAACCCCGCTACATCTTTCCTGTGGAGAAAAATTAAACTAAGAGGATAACAACTTCTCTGAAAGTCATTTCCTCAATGGTAAAAAGAAACACTTATAACCACTCAGTAATATGCAACATATTTAAAGTCATAGCATAACACTTTCTGGATGTGGCAAATATTTGCTGCACCAGTGAATGAAGAAGAGAACTGAAACCCATCAAGAATGAGAATAATCCCTCTCGGGGAACACAGAGTAGACCTAAGAGCTGGATGCTAGCAACTTACTCTCTCAGGAAGTGGAATAGCGGAGAGCTTCAGTTCGGAGGTCAGAATGTGGGCTGCTTGGGTTTGAATTCTGCCTCCACCTTTTCCCATTTGTGTAACATGGAGCAGATTGCTTGACTTCTTAATCTCAGCTTTCTCGTCTTTAAGTGGTATACAAATAATGTCTATTCTGTGGGCTTGATGATGGAAGTTAAATTGAATTAATAAATGTAATGCAATAAGCACTCAATAATATTAGCCATACATATGTGCTCCTTCAGAGTAAGGCCAGAAAGTAATGGTTCAGTGCTACTTTGTGGCCAGAGAGCGTGATTTGGGATGGTATAAGAATATTTAACCCTAAACTTTTCTTTGGATTGTACTTGGTACATTATACGGATGCCTTTTATGAGTTTCAACTTATCATTGTTTTAGTTTATATTGGCCCACCTTTGAAATTTACATTTGTAAATTAATTTTCGTTAAAGATCTGAAACTTAGTGTAAATTTCATGCTGAATCATCGTTTTAATTTTGTTGTAGGAATACAAGAGTAGAAATACTAATTCCTGGGCAATCCCATTTTTAAAATAGGTTCCACAGTGATTCACTTAACACCCCACATAGAGCAAAATGTCACCACAGAAGGATAACTGGTCAACCCGGTGTAAACCAGGTCTTCAGTCTCGTGGGTTGTTGTATTAAAATCTTAGCAACATTACCAGGATTAAAGGATAAAAGTCGGAAAGGGAAAGGTAACTATGAGGCATCCAAAAACCTAGGACAATTTGTAGACTAAAGCAATAATAGAATGGGTCCAGACAATGGCGGTTTTCATTTTTATTTGTACTTTTAAGCTGTGTTGAGTGCTAGCAGAAGCTCAAATGAGTGACACATAGGGAAAGGAAAAACATCCCCCCTAGAATGTCTTTAAAATCTATAATAATAATATAATAATACAAAGTGCATCTGGGCATTGCCTTCTGCTGCGGCTCCTGTCTGGCTCTCATCCAGAACTTGTCAGGCTGCTCTTGAGTGCTGATGATTCATAGCCCAGCACCCTTTTATCTGAACGTCGCAGTGTCTTTTCTTTGTACTTTGGCAGTGATGTTACCTTGATGTTCAAAAATCTTTTAAAAGCAACACAGGCTTTGCTTGCATGCTGACAAATTGTTGTCTGCTGGTAATGAAGAAAAAGTAAACTTGGTTCTGTGATCATTGTAAATATACCGAAATAAATACTTTCCTTTTATTTGTTTGTTTGTTTGTTTTTAAAAGTTGGTAGTATTTTGCGATCCTCTCCCTGAAAAGTAATCTGACCATCTTTCTTTATTTCCTTTGTATGACTCAGCATGCTGCTTTCCAAACGCAGGGGTCAGCTGGAGTTTTTGTAAATGATTTGATATTTGAGGAGAGATTTTTGGATTTTAAACAAGGGGAACATGAGGTTATTTTTATTTCTGTTGTGTGCTCTTACTGATGTTGTTTCAACGTTAATGTTTTATTATTACCCGTTTGAATATGCTTTCATATATCCTGAGCATAGTAACAGTGCTTTGCATCCACGTGGTGCTTTTCATATCTGTTGTGTGCTCTTACTGATGTTGTTTCAACGTTAATATTTTATTATTACCCATTTGAATATGCTTTCATATATCCTGAGCATAGTGCTTCGCATCCACGTGGTGCTTTTCATACGTTTCCTCATCTCAGACATGAAGCAGCCATGTGAGGTTAGCAAGGCAGATTCTTATTATTATCCCAAAGTGCCTATGAGGAAACGGAGGCTCAAGATGGCTGACTCTCCCCCCACTCGGCCTGCAGCAGAAACCAGTCTACTTACTCAAAATCAGCACTTCCCCTTTTATCATGTGGTATTTCAGAAAGGAATCTGGGCTTTGTCAGTGAAGGTTTAACAGCTAGAGTGAAGGTAGTAGTATTTTTGAACATTGGTCACTACAGCCTATGGAAGGTCTTCGTTACATTTGGGTGCAGCATTTTTGAAATTATATATTTTTACTGATTTAAGAGAGGGAGAGAAAGATAGAAACATCAATGATGAGAGAGAATCATTGATTGGCTGCCTCCTGCATGCCCCACACTGGGGATCAAGCTCGCAATCCGGGCATGTGCCTGACCGGAATCGAACCTGGACCCCCGGGTTCATAGGTCGACGCTCAACCACTGAACCACACCGGCTGGGCTGGGTGCAGCATTTTAAGGAGAGCACTGGGAAACTGGAGGACCTGAGGGTCAAGAAACTAGAATAGTGAGGATCCTGGGAAAGATACCAGAAATAACCAAAGGAATCAGGATTCTCCAGTCTGGAGAAAGGAGGACACAGAGCGATATAGCTGACACCTCCAAATGTTTTATAGACTACCTGGTGGAAGAAGAATTAGATTTGTTCTTGGTAATTTCAGGCAGCAGAAGTAGGATCACTGGATGGAAATTACACAGAAGCAGATTTATACTCAATATAAGAAGAGACTTTCTAACATTTCGAGATGTCCAAAAATGGAATAGACTAGCTCACCCTCACTGGGAAGTGTTCATCCTGAGACTGTCTGACTTCAAGATGATATGACTTTATGGGAGTTGTATTTCAGCAGTAACACAATTTTATGATGAACCTTCTAAGAGCTCAGAGAAGAATTTCCTCACTAGCTAAAAACAGGATTTTTTTTTCCCTAGCCTTTCCACCCTGGTTTTAGAAAGGTGTATGCATGCCAATTCCTGTTTCACATATTACTGAGTCCTGAGAAATACTGTTCAGTTGATAGGAAAGGCATACGGTATTAGTTAAAACAAATAAGCAAGGCTTTTGTTAGATAAGAATCGGAGCAGACTGTGGTGTGATGCGTGCAATGGTGTGTGTTTGCGAGCATTTTAACTATTGCAGGTTGAGATTTTTGCTATTTTCATGTGGCTTGTTAACTTTCATTACTTAGTAGTCTAGCCCTAGAACAGGACCTATAAGATTAAAAGAAATGGGCAGAAAATCATTCAAATTTGATGGTTTCAATTTTCTTAATATAGAAAGGGACAGGGCATTAAAAAAGAGAGAGATTAGCTAAAATGACTTTGTGACATAAACAGATTTACTAAGGGAAATACCTAACTAGAATCTGAAGGTTCCATCCCAGGTCTAGCTCAGTCACTCACTGGTTCCTCATTATGCCTTAGGTTTTTATTCCTCTAACATGTACTAGTACATCTTGTTCTAGGAGTTTTCTTCCCAGCTTTTAAACTTTATGACTCTAATACTCCCGGTTTGCATAGAAAATTGAGAATGATCTCAATTATCACAAAAACAATTCAGTCATTTATTTCTTCTTTAAATTGTTTATTCATTTATTCAAAAATACTTATGAAGTGAAACACTATGTTAGAAATGAGAAAACTTTGCTCCAGCATATGTGATTTTAAGGATGAAAGGAAAACAGCAAATCAGGATCTTTAATACTTAAAATGAATGTGAAGGATTCCATTTGTAGGGTATTTTGAAACAAATAGAATAGCATTCCTCTGTATCATGGCGTGTTGTTTCTTTGATTTCAAACAGTAACATTTCAAACCAGGCCCCAAATCACAATGGCATGCGACAAAAGCAAGTTATAGTAAATCTTTTAGTGCAGGCAATGTTAATGGTTCAACCACCGACTCCAAACCGAAAGCCTTTCCTGTGTGAATAATCTCAGCTGTTCCTTCTCCCCACAGATTCCAGCGGGGTGACTACCACATTGACGTCTGCATCAATGACTACCTGGATGTTTTCTGCCCTCACTACGAGGACTCGGTCCCAGAAGATAAGACCGAGCGTTACATCCTCTACATGGTGAACTTTGATGGCTACAGTGCCTGCGACCACACTTCCAAAGGGTTCAAGCGATGGGAATGTAACCGGCCTCACTCTCCAAATGGACCACTGAAGTTCTCTGAGAAATTCCAGCTCTTCACGCCCTTTTCTCTAGGATTTGAGTTCAGGCCAGGCCGGGAATATTTCTACATCTGTGAGTATATGCAGATTTATCATGTGGCGGGACGGCTGGGGGAATCCAGAGCAATTTTTTACCCATGTTCCAGAGAATTGCAGCGAGCTGGACTCCGCATCCCAGATGTCTCCTTGTAAATGCATACATCAGGGTCCCTAGATACATTAGCCGGGAATTGAGAGCACAAATTAGATTAAAGACACAGCGCCTCTCCCCCTATGAAATTGCATGTCAGCCTGTTCAGTGAACCACTGCTGACTTGTATTTCTTTTAAATGAAAATTGCTAGGACTTCTCCAAAGCTGGGGGGGGGGCGGGCGGAGAGAAATTCCTGAAAAAAAAATTAACGGAAATAATTAAATTTACATGGCTTAGAGTCATTGGATTTCTTATTCAGGTGTCAGCAATATCCTTTCAGTCATCCACATTTTCAGTGGAGAAAGCCAGCCCTCCTGCAAATGTCAGTATGCTGACGATAAATACTCTCTTTGCACCAAGGAGGAAAGATGATTATTAAGAGCAGCTGTGTCTTTAAACAGGAAAGAGCATAAAGAAGGATCTAGAAAGGGTTCCAAGGGAACTGGTGTAAGTGTGTTTCCCACCTGTGAGCATTCAGCGACCCTGTCCTGAGAGAGCGCTAAAACTTTCTCAGCAGACCTCGCTTCATCACATTGCCATGGCCTTCTATTTCTCCACCATATACACCATCACTTCTTCAGGCATCATACTAGTCATAGATTCCAGACAACCGCTTCCGGAACCTCTGTGCATAAGTCACCTGAGATCGTGTTATAATGCAGATTTCTGCTCGGGGGTCATCCGAGATTCGGTAGGTCGTCCGGTGAGAGCGATGCTTCTGGGGTTATAGGTCATATCTAATTTAGGCAGCCTGCTGTGTCTCTGCCTGAACTTTCCTTTAATACCAAATTTTTAAGTGATCTGGCCTTTCCCACATGTTTTCACGGTCAGCTGAAGGAGTTAAAAGTTTATTTGTTTAAAATTACATTTATTGAACAGTACACCGTGGCTCAGAAGTGTTGGGGGATGCAAGAGGAACAGACACTCCCTGTCCTCAAGGGTGACTGTCTAGTGGGGAGCAGACTTGTCCAGAGGCAGTGACAGTGTAAATAGACAATTGCTGAATGAAGATGCATGCAGGGAGCGGTGGGACCCTGGCGGAGGTTGTACCTCACCTGCCTGAAGAATCTGGGTGTGCAGCTGTTCCTGGTGTGTAGCAATCCCAGCGATACCACCCAGTGTGCTGAGCACTGATTTTTCAACCCGCTCGCCAGACCTGCAAGATGAAAAACATTCCTGTTCTCATTTCTCCAATTCAAGTGTCCCCACTCTCTCCTGGCCCCCATGTTTTAAGTGTACAAGGACTTCCAGTTCCCTTTCTTCTGCAGAAGCAGAATGTTATAAGCTGGATTTCTCCACCACAAGGGCACTCTCACTTACATTGGAATTGAATTTAGAAAGGAAATGGAACAGCACCAGTCTTATTATTTCAGTGCATATTTCAGCCCTTAGTCATGAGAAAACATGTGAGAGCCTTGATACTATCTCACCTTCGATCCATAAAATAAGAAGGGCGGGGGTAATGGGGAGAGAGCAACCAAAGGACTTGTATGCATATAAGCCTAACCAATGGACACAGACACCAGGGGGGTGAGGGCATGAGTGGGGGTGGGGGGCAATAGGGGAATAAGGGCACATATGTAATACCTTAATAAAGAAAAAAGAAAAGGGATATTGAGTCCCACGGATGGAGGAAACACAGTGAGTTCGCACGTTCTCAGGCAGCAGGCTCTTGCCTTTTGCCAATTTTTCACTTTGTGAAAGAATCTCATTCAGCATGTGAGAATGAGGAAAGGGGAGGACTTCAGTTGTGGGACAGCAACTCATGAATTGCCTAACTCTAACATATCATACCAATACAGGAGGAAGTTACTGCATTTCCAAATTTTCATATTGGTTTCTAAGGTTAAAAAACAACCACAAAAGCAAACCCCAAAATGAGTAGAGTGCACTAAGATGGGAAACATACTCACCATCTAACTAGCTGATTGCATGATTATTAGAAATTATAGAATCCATTGAGGTTCATAAGCAAGATGTTATTATTCAAATATACTCATAGTGCTTATGACTCGTTTTTCCTCATTTGTGCTTAAATTCAATATTTCACTAAAAACCATTATGTGTCTTCTATAACATTCATTTAACGGAGTCATTTAACTGTCAGGGGCTCCTGTCAAAGTAATTGTTCCAAAATGCTTCAAAATATCAGGAGCTTTTTGCTGTTCAGCTGAGTTTAACCTGAATTACATTTTTTAATGAAAGGTAAAATAGCACAGAATTAGCGGTGAGGAGATGTTCATCTACAGGAAGCATGGTGGCCTGGAGTCGGTGAAATTGAATTTTTAACCATGTGTTAGAACCACACGCGCACCCTTCCCTGTCTTTTTAGTAGTGAAAGGGTTTCCTCTCGTTCTCTCACTGCTGAGAGCTGAGTGGCAGAGCTGTGGGGAAGTCTTAAAGACGTTTAATATACTCTGGTCATAATTAAACTAAAGAAGTCTTAGGGGAGAATTGGCCCTCAGTTGAATTCTCTCTCTTCTAATGTGTGTGGAATGAACAACATGACTGGGAAACGGCTCTTTTCACACTTACTGTGTCACAAGAAGCTCTATTGCTGATCCCAGGAACAGGCTGACTACCCACCGGTCAGTTTTATAAAATGTTCTTACCAGGCCAGGGGTGTATTTCAGCTCTTCGCAGCCTTAAAACCTCTTCCAAGTTTTCCAAGAGAAAAAGGAAAGCTATTGCCTAAAGTAGGCAGCCTTGCTGTAGGGTATACTAGAGGAAGGGTTACATTTAGTGGTGACTGTGAACCGAAATGCAGACGTAAACTTGAACTTGTGGGAAGGGAAGAGGAGTAGCCCATGACAGGGTATCCACCTCATCACTTAGAGAGGACACCCGTTAGAGAGTTCTTATCAAGTTCAGCTTTATCCTCAACAAGATTTATTGCCTTCTTCATTTCGTTGAGGCATGCCAAATTAAGAAATACAGTCGTTGAAAATATCTCATTTGAAGTTTCCAATTTACTTTACTTAAAAATAAAATATTATTCACAATTCCAGATCCTGTATTTGTCCCAAGAATGACTCTGTGCTATGTCCTCCTTGCCTTGGGAACAGGCAGTCTATTAAGTTGTTACAATAAGGGATTGTCGCTACGGCAGACTGAGCCCATTCTCGAATCTGACATACACTGTTTTTAGTCTACAGGAGTTATTTTGGGAAGTGATTGGCATACTAAATTAGAGAAGGTCGGTGGTATTTCTATCAGTGATAGATTTGCAGAACTGCCTGCGAATAGGTTATGGCAATAGAGACTTCCTAAGGCAAAGAACAATTTTAGAAATTTCAAAAATACTCATTTTAGAAATGATTCTCATAAATATGAACAAATGAGAACAGGTTTGAAAGAAGTTTTACTGTTGCTGTTTTTAGATTAGAAGAGGCAAAGGAAAATAAAGAAGGCACCATACGTTGTCTTTGTAAGTCAGTAGGAACACTGATCTAGAATGTCCTCCTCTGTAAAGTAAGGCAACCTGAGTCCCAGGCCCTTCTCTTGACTCCACTGGCTGTACGATCTTGGGTAAACCATTCAATCTCTCTGGGTTTCCAACTCCATGTTGGTAAAATAATGTGGTTGTAATAGATCAGCGGTTCTCAACCTGTGGGTCACGACCCCTTTGGGGGTCGAACGACCCTTTCACAGGGGTCGCCTAAGACCATCCTGCATATCAGATATTTACATTACGATTCATAACAGTAGCAAAATTACAGTTATGAAGTAGCAATGAAAATAATTTTACGGTTGGGGGTCACCACAACATGAGGAACTATATTAAAGGGTCACAGCATTAGGAAGGTTGAGAACCACTGCAATAGATAATTGCAAACTTTTCTTGAGCTTTAATATCCCAATGTTACCCTATTTTACCGAAGGGTCTGCACCACTAGGGTAAGAGAGAACATCTGTAAAATGGCCCAGCCTAATGCCTTTTCCTCACTTAGTAGGTGTTCAGTAAGTGCCAGTTAAAGACGTAATTAGGGGAAATGCAGAGTGGAGAGGCCTATTGGGTATTAGAATTATGTCCTGTTTAAACCACCATCCCCTGTGGTCTCCACTAGTGCACCCAATGCCTATCTGTTTTCTCACTGGATCACCACCCTGTCAAAGCCCTCCAGTGACCGACTTCCTGCCTCACCAAGACAAAAGCCAGTCTCTAACCTGGCCACCATGGTCCTCCTGGGCAGGTCCTCCTCTCTTCCCCGCCTTTGGCCTCTTCTCTTACCACTCACTCTTCTCCCTGTTGTCTGCTCCAGCGCCTGCCCGCATACCTGTCCATGCCCCAGAGAGCAGGAACTCAGCACTTTCTCTTCTCTCTGCCAGGGATCTCATTGCCGCAGGCATCCATGTCCTTGGCTCTCACTTCCTTAAGTCTACATTAAAAAAAGTATCAGACAGGCTCTTCTGCCCTCCCTGTGTAAAGATAACACCTCTCTCATCCTCTACACTTTTACCCTACTTTATTTTTCCTCAGGCACTCATCACCCCCCCGCATTAGATATTTCTGCTCTATGCCCCATATTATATCGTTTGGCATGTAGTAAATGTTTAATAAGTGAAGATAACTAGTGTTTACACAGCACTTACTCTGTCCCAGGCACTGTTCTGTGTACCCTACAATTTTCAAAACAGCAATTCATTTTGAAAATGTTCTTCCCATTTTATAGGTGAAGAAACTGAGGCACAGAAAAGTTAGGTAACCACACAGATAAGAAAGGCTGATCTGAGAGGAAATTAAGTGAATAAGCAACTAAAAGGAAATGAAGAGATAAAGTCCTAGGTATCAAATGATGAAAAAGGAAAAAAATATATTCTTTTATAATTAGCACTACTGTTTAGAAAATATTACTTACAAACTGCTAGAAATGCAAATAA